CCCCCCCCCCCGCTCATGCCCTCACCCCCTGATGTCTGTGTCCATTGGTTATGCTTATATGCATGCATACAAGTCCTTTGGTTGATCTCTCTCCCTTATTCCAACCCTCCCCTGCCTTCCCTCTGAGGAAAGCATCTGATCGATGCTTCTCTGTCTCTGGGTCTTTTTTTGTTCATCAGTGTATTTTCATTATAATCCACAAATGAGTGAGATCATGTAATATTTATCTTTCTCTGACTGACTTATTGATTGGCTGCCTCCTGCACGTCCTCTACTGGGGATCAAGCCCGCAACCCAGGCATGTGCCGTTGACCAGAATTGAACCCAGGACCCTTCAGTCGACAGGCTGACGCTCTATCCACTGAGCTAAACCAGCTAGGGCGAGATCTTTCTTTTTTACAGCAGTGTAGTATTCCATTGTGTAGATGTACCACAGTTTTACAATCCACTCATCTACTAATGGGCACTTAGGTTTTTTCCAAATCTTAGCTATTCTAAATTGTGCTGCTATGAACATAGGGATGCATATATCCTTTCTGATTGGTGTTTCTAGTTTCTTGGGATATATTCCTAGAAGTGGGATTACTGGGTCAAATGGGAGTTCCATTTTTAGTTTTTTGAGGAAACTGCATACTGTTCTCCACAGTTGCTGCACCAGTCTGCATTCCACCAGCAATGCACTAGGGTTCCTTTTTCTCTGCACCCTCGCCAACACTTGTCATTTGTTGATTTGTTGATGATAGCCATTCTGACAGGTGTGAGATGGTACTGCATTGTTGTTTTGATTTGCACAAAGCATATTCTTTAAAGGAAATGAATCAAGTCTGATAGACATTTTTGCAACTCTTAACTTCATAACGTAAATATATATAAGAAGAATGAGGAATTAAATTAATAGAATTGTAGAATTTTATTTTATTTATAAGTGACCAAATAAGCAAAGAGTGGTCACACGCTTAGTGACAGAACTAAGACTCCATCTATTCTGGAATCTCCTTTTATGGCCACAGGTAAACTGAGGAAATGAATAGTTGCAATTGAAAAAAAAACACACTTGAAAATACTTAGCCTCAGTTTTATCATTTGACAGTTCAGCCATTGTCTTTATGAGGTTTGGGCTACTCATATGTCTCTCTGCTGTCATGTCAGGTCTTACTTTGGTGTCTGCTCCCCATTTGGCACGGTCTTACCATCATTTATTTCCTTTGGATGCTTTTCAAGAAGTTTCCCTAGAAGAACATAATGGCGAAAGGTATATGCATTTTGATTAATTTATGTTATAAGAGGTAATGTTTGAATACATTGTGACTACATTTTAGTTATATTAACCTGGGCAAAATTATTTCTTACTTTAAAAAACAAGATGTATAATGCCTTGGTTATGACTGAAATGACTCATTAAATAGATCTGGATCTTCAGAAATCTTTTAGTTTCCCTAAACCCATCTATGTGGTATACTAGTAGACCAGCTCTCCAAAAATAAAAAAATAAAAAAAGCCCTGATTTTTAGCATTTGCTAATTTCCATGGTGTAAAACTGGAGAATTTATCCAGAAGGTTTAATGTCAGAATAATATGAAAATAAAGAAAAGATCAAATGAAGAGAAGAGAAATACTTCAAGGGCATTTTCTACTATTAATGAACAAAACTTTCTGGATTGAAAGGACTATTGAAGGAAAACATCCACACTAAAGTATATAATTGAGAAATTTCAGCATATGAAGCAAAATCTAAACATTTCTGGAAAAGAAAAATTAGGTCACATAATCTGGAATTAAAAGTATTTGGCTTCTCATCAGTAACACTGGATACTGACAAGGAACAATTTCTTTCAAAATTTATAGTGAAAACTATTACCAACCTAAGTTATATACCTAGTCAAGATATCAATTAAATGTAGGTAGGTAGAATAAAGGCATTTTCAGACTTGTAAGGTCTCAAAAGAGATTTTCTGAGGTAGTTGTAGAAGAGATGCTTCAAAGGAACTGGGAATGAATGAAAGAGAATAGGAATATCTATCTAATTCAAAATTGGCTAAGGAAAAGCCTACAATGATGATAAATGGAAACCCCAGAATGTCTCTTGTATGTCGTGTGGAGATTGATCATTCCAGTTTGGAGAAGGTCAAAATGTTCCAGGAGAAATGTCACCAAGAGGACAAAAGCTATATAATTCCTGATGTGGTTGCACATAATGAGAGGATCTTTAGAATTCTCAGGGAAAGGTTGGGGCTGAGGTAATGGTAATTCCATAGAAAACTAAGCTTGTGGATGGCTATAATAATTAGGAAAATATGTTTTAAATGATTTTTTAAATGTTTTTATTGGTTTTAGAGAGAGGAAGGGAGAGAGAGAAACATCGATCCGCTGCCTCCTGCACACCCCCTACCAGGGATTGAGCCCATAACCCAGGATGTGCCCTGACCAGGAATGGAAGCAGCGATCTCTTGGTACCTGGGATCATGCTCAACTAACTGAACCACACTGGTTAGGGCGAGGAAAAAATGTTTCAAAGAGAGAAAAGTTATATTACATGTCTCAACTGAATGTTTATATAGTTATAATAAACTAAATATTTAATATTGTTCTACCTAAGATGATTTAATTATATAGAATTGAAAATGACGTTAGTTATGCATGTACATACTAATGGTTCAAGAGGGTAAAAGAGAATTAAATGCTCATCTTCCGTAGTAAAAGGTTCATAGCTAATGCCTATGAAAAAACCAAGAGATAGCACTATATGCATAGGTAACTATTAGACAAAAGTTTTGAAGGTGTTTTTGCTCTGGGGAACTGGAAATGAAGTGTCGGGTGGATAGGTAGGCAACTGTTATTTTTTTGTAATAAGTTTTGAGAATTATTAACTCTAAATCATTCCTTGAAAATTAAGCCTATAAGCATCTATTATAGGTAATAAATTAACTTGTACCAGCTGTCTATATCTTTGGGAGGGGTGAAAAATAGTCACTTAGATCATTTTCTGTAGGGTTTAATTCCCTTGTACAATCCCAATTGAGAAAGCATCTCATGTTTAACCTTGATGAAAATAAAAGTACTTTTTCTTTTTGCTGTTTTTAAAATTTCACATTTATTGCTTAGATGATTTGGTACAGAACAGCTTTTCTTCTCATTTTGAATTTGGAAATACTACACAGATGAATACAAAGAGGAACAAAAGTACCAAAACCGAACTTATGGTTCTCTTCACGTGGCATAAACCACTTTTATAGATAACATGTTGCAGTAGTTTATAAGTTCCCTTTAGAAAACATGAAATCTATACATTTATATTGCCTCCTGTTTAATGCATGGGCTGAAATCACTAGGATCAACTTCCTTCTTAAAGAAAAGTAAATTTTTTTTGAAGTATGATTTTGGGCTGACTGTTAGATGACTGAATTTACCGTGGAATTTTTAAAATTACTGGTATTCTTAACTCTTCTCTTAAAAGTCATGTGTAAATAAATTGTAAGATTACTTATTAATTAAAGTATTTTGTTAATGAGCTTTTGCTGAACTATTTTAATGAGTTAATTCTAAACAAAATGATTCTTAAACTTTTTCAGATTTTGTTACGGATGTCAGGGGGAATTGAAAGACCAACATGTAAGTTTGTGTACTTTCTAAATATTAAATATTGTACAAGAAATATTATAAGTTTTCGGTAGATTATTGAAGAGCAAACTCCTATCAGGATATTCCTCAGAAGTATAATAATAGGTAGAGATAAAATGGAGCACAATAGTTTAAACATTTATTTGTCATTCTGCATTCTAATTTTGCTACAAAGATATTTTAGTACTTTAAACTGTCTTCAGTTTGCAAGCTAAACTGCATTTAGTTTGGAAATAGTAAATATTTTTTCTCTGTATTGTGCTTTAAGTGCTGTCATAAGACATTTTGAAGTGAAGTTACCACTTAAGATGGCCACAGATCAAAGGTTATTCCCCCATTTGGCCAATAAGAAAATATTTTAAAATTTTTTGAAAGGGGCCAATTTGAATGTATAAACTTACATAAAGACACAAGTAAGATAGATAATTGTCTAGTTTTAATTTTTTATTAATTTACTTGTTCATATTTAAAACTATGCCATATATATATATATATATATATATATATATATATATATATATATATATAAAGGCTAACATGATTGCGCGCTATGACATTCGCTGACCACCAGGGGGCAGCTTGGAATGAAAGCCCCGATCAGCCCTGATCACTGGCCAGGCCTAGGTACCCTCCCCGTGCACAAATTGCGTGCACAGGGCATCTAGTAAACTGTATAAAATGTTAGTGGGAACGATTGCTTGTTTATTCGACTGTCACATTTCATCAAGCAATTTTATTACGTTTTACATTCCTCTTTGATGTCAGTAGCTTCATCCTCACTGGAATCTCTTTTTTAATTATTTGACAGTTTTTTTGTTCGTTTTGAAATCAAGAAAAAGGGATAGGGGGAAATAGAAACATCAGTAATGAAGTCATTGATCAGCTGCCTCTGGCAAGCCCCCTACTGGGTTTTGAGCCTAACCTGGGCATGTGCCCTTGACTAGAATTGAACCTGGGACCCTTCAATCCACAGGCCGATGCTCTACCCACTGTGCCAAACCAGCTAGGGCATATTTGACAGTTTTTAAGAACCTATCATCTATGCTGTTTAGGATTTAATGATTTTTGAATATGTGTATGATGCTGCTCTAGAAGTTTTACCCAGGCACAGATATCTAAATACTAATTAATACTAATAGAATAATAAGTTTTTTCTTTTTATTTGTCTCACATGTGTCTTTTGCCAAATTCTTTAGGTGTTTAATTAAAAGGGTAATGTAACTTTTGCAATTGTGAGGTCATTACTGAAGGAATAACTAAATCTGTGTTATATTGTGGTGCTTCTCCTTTTTAAAAAATTTTAATTAATTTTACTTTGTTTTCATCACCATTTATCCCCCATACCCTCTTCCACCTCCACCCTCCACCCCCATAGTGCTTCTCTTTTTAATTGAACCAGTCAGATGACCTCTCTAAGCATTCAAAACTAGTGCTAATTTCAAGCTTGTGTCTTCCCCAGATAGTTACTTAAAATGAAATAATCGAGAGTGTCCCATAATAGAAGGAACTTTAAGACTCAAAGACAAAGTTATTTCTTCATTTCTAAGGAATTTTTTTGGAAAAAAATAATCACCTTAGATTTGAGAACATATAGTACAGTGGAAGTAGTAATGTAGGTGGGGAAAAATTGATAAGAGCTATAAAAGAGCAAAGCACTTTTAGTGTCTTCTAGGAATGCTCTGCTTAACGTTTAGAAACTGCTTTTTAAATTTACTTTTCTTCTTTTCACTGCAGGTCTATCATTGCACTGTGTGCCAAAATGTTTTCTGTGTGGACTGTGATGTTTTTGTTCATGACTCTCTCCACTGTTGTCCTGGCTGTATTCATAATATTCCAACTCCTTCAGGTATTTGATTCCAGCATATAGTACACATTATATGTGTTAAAAAGAAACTTGCAACTGTAAATAAAATGATTCTTTTGAAGAAGCTCTAATTAAAACATGAAAAGCAGTTCAAAAGGAAAATCTGACTTAAGAAACTTTTTTGCTAAAAAATGTAATATTTTATTATATTTTAAAATTTGTGTCCTACCACAGCAATCCCTATAATTCAATAGTAGTTCTTTTAGTTACTTTGTTTTCTATTATTTTTAAGTCATAATGTTTTCTTTTTTTAAAAATAATTATTTATTATTGAAAGTATTACATATGTCACCTTTCCCCCATTGAGTTACATTATTATATTTATAATTTTCAGTGATTTAGTTTTATTGATTTTTAGTATAAAAAGAAATTAAGTATAAGTGTTAATTCAATGTAGGATAAAATTAATGGTTATGAAATTAATGCCTACTGATATATTTGGGTTTAAATCTCTCATCTCACTTTATGTTATACTATTCCATCTTTATTTTTCTCTTCTTTCTTGCCTTTTTTGGATTGATTCTTTTATACTATTCTAGGTTTTTCTTCAACTAGCTTGGAAATTACATACTTTATTTTTATTCTTTTAGTGGTTACCCTAGAAATTAGTTCGAATAATTTATTAACTTGGGTCCTCTGGGGGGGGTTGGGTGGGAAGAGATTAACCAAAGAACTTATATGCATATATGCATAACCCATGGACACAGACAATAGTGTAGTGAAGGCCTGGGGTGGGGGGTAGATGTGGGCTAGAAGAGGTCAATGGGGAAAAAATGGGACATCTGTAATACTTTCAACAATAACGATAAATTTTTTTTTAAGTAGAACCTGAGGCAAAGATGAAAGTATTGTTCCTTTATTTGGGAGGTTCTGGAAAGTGACGGTAGGGCAGAAAAAGGAATGAGGTTGAGGTCATGTCGATTTCCAGTCAAAGCCACCTACCTGTGCTTGTACATGCAGGAGGCAACCAGTTGATGTGTCCTTCTTGTATCAATGTTCTCTCTCTATCTCCCTCTTCCTCTCCCTCCCTCCATTCCACTCTCTCTAAAAATCAATGAAAAAATATCCTTGGGTGAGGATAAATAAAATTGATTGTGATGATGATTGTTCAATTCTGTGAACATGCTAAAAACCATTGAACTATACACTTCAAATGGGTGAATTGTGTGGTACGTAAAGTATCTCTATATATAAAAGGCTAAGTGACCAAACGTCCATCTGTCCGACCGGCCGCTACATATGACACACGCTGGCTTGACTTGTGCATGCGCGATACATACAAAGCTCCACTGGTGCCAATCGCACGCGTGTGTTTCGATCTGTCACTGTTGATCATGAATTTTGTTGTTTTTGTTGACATTCTGAAGCTGAAAAAAAGGCATCTTTGATAGAATATGTCTGAAGACCAACTATTGGCACAACGTACCTCTGAAGCTGGCTAAGTATTATAGTGTTTGGAGATGTTTCAGACAGTTGTCTCTTAAAAGAAACATGAGATCAGAGGATTTTGCTTATAGCAAATGGTTAGTAAAACTTGGAGATGGCAAACTTGAGAGCAGTTTTTATTTAGGAACTAGAGGCCTGGTGCACGACATTTGTGCACTTGGTGGTGGGGGGTGTCCCTCAGCCTGGCCTGTGACCTCTTGCAATCCGGGACACCTCGGGGGATGTCCAACTGATGTGGAGGTGGGAGAGGCTTCTGCTACCGTCACTGCACTCACCAGCCGTGAGCCTGGCTTCTGGTGGTCAGTGCGCATCATAGCGGCCTGTCGTTCTGCCATTCGGTCAATTTGCATATTAGCTTTTTATTATATAGGATGGATATTAGTGAAATCTCCCGTGAAATGATTTGTAATGGATCTATTACTGAAGCTACCCTTGGAAATAGTATATCTATAGATAGTACTAAAAATATATCTAAACGTGATATTTTTTGTCCTAAAAATGAGCACGTTCATAAATTAAATGAAGGAATTTTGGATATACTCGATGGAGATTTTCACACCTGTTTGAGTGATGATTCCATTGATTCAACAGATGATGCCGAAAAGGAAAATATTCCCATCGAATTTCTTAATAGTATTACTCCTTTGGGAATGCCGTGTTATAAATTAAAATTGAAAGTAGGTGCAGTCATCATGCTACTGAGAAATCTTAATAGTAAATGGGGTCTTTATAATGGTACTAGATTTATTATCAAAAGATTGCGACCTAACATTGAAGTTGAAGTATTAACAGGATCTGCCGAAGGGGAGGTTGTTCTGATTCCAAGAATTGATTTGTCCCCGTCTGACACTGGCCTCCCATTTAAATTAATTCGAATACAGTTTCCTGTGATGCCAGCATTTGTGATGACTATTAATAAATCACAAGGACAAACTGTAGACAGAGTAGGAATATTCCTACTGAATCCGTTTTTGGACATAGTTATATGTTGCTTCCTCTCAAGTTCGAAGAGCATGTGATGTTAAAGTTGTAAATACTTCGTCACAGGGAAATTAGTCAAGCACTCTGAAAGTGTTTTTACTCTTAATGTGGTATACAGAGAGATATTAGAATAAGTTTCATCAGTTTATCAGTCATGGTTTTTATCAATATTGTTTTTATATTATGTTTTTGTTGTTTTTATATCATGTTTTTGTTGTTATATCATGTTATTGTTTATTATTAATTTATATATTTTCATATATATTTTACTAATTTTCTTTCATCTCTGACACTTCTATTATAGAGAAAGAGTGAATAGCGATATTAAAATATTTCTTCTAATTAATTTCCTTTCAATGTGCACGAATCTGTGCACCAGGCCACTAGTATCTCAATAAATCTGTCTTAAAAGTGAAACACTGGGAGAATACAAAGGGGTAGGGTGTAGAGGAGTAGATGAATGCAGGGCTGAGAGAGAATTATTTTTTTATCATTTTAAAATAGTTTTAATTTTTGAGACATGTAAACAAAGTATTCAAAAATAATAACATTGCCCTAGCTGGTTTGGCTCAGTGAATAGAGCATCGGCCTGTGAACTGAAGGGTCCTAGGTTCGATCCTAGTCAAGCGCACATGCCTGGGTTACGGGCTCAATCCCCAGTGGGGGATGTGCAGGAGGCAGCTGATCCATGATTCTCTCTCATCATCGATGTTTCCATCTCTCTCTTCTTCTCCCTTCCTCTCTGAAGTCAATAAAAATATATTTTAAAAAAATTATGGAATCTTGGGAAGTTGTGGTGAAGCAAATGCAAATAATGTTTTAGCTAATGTTAGCTCTTAGTTGAGGGCCTGAATAATAACACAAAAGCAATCCTGTTCATCAAATAATGCAGTAGTAATGGAGTTGGAGGTTGGAGGGGAACTGCAATCAAATTTCTTTTTCATTTATTTGGGTCATGGTTCAAGTGATACATTTTCCACCTATATGTGGCAATACGTGCACTGTTTCTATTTTGTTGTGACTCTTGCCCTTGAAAATAACTATATATATACAAAACAAAGATGGCAGTACTATTTGAAGATTTAGATTAAAAATGTGAGTCTTGTATTTAAGGACCACGGGTGACCCACTATATACTGAAGGCATGTCACAATCAAAATACTAACATATTTCAAAACTGAGGGGACAGCAGGACTTCTTCTCATAATGACAGTAGGAAAGAAGAACCATAGACATTTTGTAAGTTTTCTCAATGCTTTGTAACTTCCTCATGTTCCATCTGTGTTCAGCTGTCTGTATCACTGTAATGATTGGCAAACTCATAACATGACATGATTTCGAGTGGTGAGAAAGAAAGGGCACAGCCAGTCCTTGGGAAGTGGGGTGGTAGAAATGCAGGCCTTTCGTGGGTGGCAGAATTTAGGAGAAAGGGCAAGAAGTTTGAGTCTGTGGGGCCTATTCTGTTCTGGGGAAACCTATTACAAGGTGGACTGGGGCTCTGATGGGGTCCTTATGGGATTTAAATTCGTGATTTCACCTGACTGAATTGCTATTTGAGTCACACCTCAGGCCAGGGCCCTGAAAATAATACACAGTTCGTTCAAACCTGTACATCTCTATCTATCTGATAGTAACCTACGTAGTAGGATATAGACACTAAAAAGAGGACATAAACCCTAACCTCATGGAACTGTGAATCTCCCAGCCTAGAAGGGAGACCTATAAAGAAGTCACTGTGAAAGTGCAAATAGTATGCCAAGGGCTTAGGGAATGCAGAGGAGATGCTGTAAATGGGCTGGGTTGCAAACCCCGTGCCTACAGAGGCCAGGCAGATAATGAAGTGAGTGGAAAGGGGCCAGGTTGCTGCCAAGTGGCGGCATCTGGAAGCACTTGTTCCATCTAAAAGAGGCAGCAGCCTCTGGATGCTGGGCTCAGGGATAGAAGAGTGACACCGTTTTCACTATACATCTTTCTGTACCTTTTGAGTTTTATGCATGTGCATTTTTTACCTAGTTTTTTTAGAAAGTTTTATTAGAGGAGGTAACCATTACTTGGCCCCCACCTATTTTTCTTTTTTTCTGGGAATGTCAGTCCCCTGGTGCCACGTATTTTGATAAGAGAAACTGAAAAACTGGATTTTTAAGTGAATTCTCCTAAATTTTAAACATTGGTGTTTAACTTTTAAAAACCGAACAGGCTAAATAAAACTTATCACAGGACACCAGTTTACAAACTTTGGCCCCGCCTATATCTTCTCTATTCCTTATCAGGGCAGATCATCTTAATTTTCAGGAATCAGTCTTTTCTGGGATAGATCCCTCTTAGGGGATAATTCAGTTTAGATGTTCAGTATTAAGAATTTAGACAAACAACAAGTGCTGGAGAGGATGTGGAGAAAAAGGAACCCTTCTGCACTGCTGGTGGGAATGCAGACTGGTGCAGCCATTGTGGAGAACAGTATGGAGCTTCCTCAAAAAACTAAAAATGGAACTCCCATTTGACCCAGTGATCCCACATCTAGGAATATATCCCAAGAAGCCAGAAACACCAGTCAGAAAGGATATATGCACCCATATGTTCATAGCAGCTCAATTCACCATAGCTAGGATTTGGAAACAGCCTAAGTGCCCATCAACAGATGAGTGGATTAAAAACTGGTACATCTACACAAAGGA